TATTTTTGCTTACTTTTAAATTGCCAATATCTATATAATCTAAACAAACTACTCCAAATCAAATGTAATCAGAAATTACAACTACGAAGGAAACAAAAGCACATTAGGTAGGTTGCAGCGACGATGAAGCATCCGGCTTTTTAGTTTCGCTTAACTGTATAATATTGGGTCATAACATATGAAATTGGTGTTTTGTAGGGGAGGAATATAAAGTCATTTTTTTGTATAATATATTTAATTAATCAAAGTATGCACCGTTGTTATCTATGCACTTTTGCCATCTCATAGGTAGTTCATTGATTCCTTTACAAAAAAACATGGGGGCGAGAATCAATAAACTCTTTGAAGGCGGTTTGGACTGCCGCATCGTAGTTGAATTTTTTTCCTTGTCCAAATTCTGGAAAAAAATCGTAATCTGTTATAGAGCAAGGTCCGAGAAGTACGATGGATGTCGCAGACATTCCAATTGTAGCTCATCTAACCTAGTAGTTTTTTGTTTTACAGTGTATAGTATAGAATAGCTTTTAGCATTTAGGCCTCGAATGGAATATTTTTGTTCGCCATCCACTCTTGTATTCTTAGTTTATTCCAAGACATTGTAGGCAGCGAATCTAACTTTCTGGAGTGATAGGGGGCATTATCCATCACCACTACGGAATTATGCTTTAGTTTGCCCCACTAAACCACTCCTCAAAACACTCAGCATTCATCTCTTGATGGTAATCTTCTTTTCCTTTTTTAGCCTCAAACACAAGTAAGCTATCTTCTACAAATCTTTCTTCCCTTTGATATGACAAATAATTAGCCGTTTTGCTTTTCCTGAAGGCCCTTTCAAGCCGGTGGTCAACCCTTCTAAGAATGCCTGCCGGGACGATTGTACAGTCTGGTCAAGCCATTGATTCTTCGGTGTATGACCTTCGAGAAAATGAAAAACATCAATTACTCATTAAATTCACAGGTGGCATGAAATGCCTACACTGTAATAGATAAATAAAACAGAGAAAATTTTAATTACCTTCGTTGATCCATGTTTCATCTTGGTAATAAATATACCTCCCTTCCCTTTTTTTTTTACATGAGGAAATGCCTACGCATACCCGCCTCGCGGGGGGCAAGGACGGGTTATGTCGGACTCGCACCGACTAAAACCCCATGGTGTTCCACCTTTGTCGCTTATTGGCAGGGCCACGGGAACGCTTTCGCACACATCCGAAGCCCCACCAGCGCCTGCCGCCCCATGGCAGCACCTCCTCGGGAGCGGAATATTCCTCCCCGTTCTCCTTCACAGGTAAGACGCACCAGAACACATGGCGCGCCTTCCTTCTCGGCCTCTAATTAGATCTGCGCAACGGACGCCCCCCGCGTCCAATGCAAGAAGGCCATGGGGCCAGGAAAAACAAGCACTTAGAAGTACTAGCCTTCCCGACCCCAGCGGCGGATCTGGTCTATGGCTCCGCCGCCAACCAAGATTCGGCTGCGGAGGGTAGGGAGAGCGGCGCCTCGCAATACCGACAATCCTCTCCCCCGCTGCCCCACCACCACCGCATCAACGGTGCGGCCCCGCTTGAGTCGCGGAGGATAGGGCGAGTGGCGCATCGCCATACCAACACTCCTCTTCCTCCGCGACTCCACCTCGGCTGCAGCGGTAGGTGGGGAGGACACACCTCTCACCGCAGTCCACCAACACACATCCAAAGTGGGCTTCCCAAGCCCACTCGGAGTGGCCACCTCCGGGCCGGCCCTCCACCTCGGACCAGCCATATGGGTTCCTCTTTGTTTCGCCGTGGGTGACCAAGCCACGGCTTCTAAGCCCCCCGCCACGACAAGGCGGGAACCCGTTCGGGGGGGATAATCGCAGGGAAGGGGGGACCCCTTAGGGATAAGAAGAATGAATTTTGTTTTTACCACCAATATATATTATAACATAATTTAAAATAATGGCTTGTTTTATTGTGTGACAAAAAATGAAAGAAAACCGTTTTCGTAACGTGAATTGGTTTTTTAGGTTCTTTTTTTCTTGAAGTTATTTGTCAGTCTGAATTTAACGAGATCGTTAAGCTTATCTACATTTTGTGTAATATTTCTCATTTTATTATAATACCAAAAGATGTTAGTGATTAATTTTAACATTTTTATTTTTAAGTTTATAACAACAACATTGCTTATGCGCTTAGGTACCTTAAGAACTTGAAATTGTCATTGACTGTCTAATAGTGTAAGCTATCGTCGAAATCTTCCAAAAACTCCCTTTTGAGATGGATCTACATAGCGTAGGGCAGCAAAGAAAAGTTTTTGAACAAATTATCAAAAAGCATAATTTTCTATCACACATATATTACACATATACTACTACATATATTATTACATTATTTCTTCAGAATCACTACGCTATGTAAGTTGATTAGTAAACGCAGAGATGAACATTCTATTGAATACTAATGCCGATCAGTCTGTGACATTGTATTCAGCGTCTTTAGATCTATTATACCCCATGGTGTAGACCTGTAACGTATAATAAGAAATTAAGAACACAATAGAACATAACAGGATAGGATAGTACAACATAAAAATGACAGATTTAAATATAATATTTCATTTGGTTTCACGCTTGTCATTTAATAATGCTATTGTTATTTATTGAAATGCATTTTGTTTAATTTTGCACAGACCTGTAACGTATAATAAGAAATTAAGAATACAATAGAACATAATAGGATAAGATATTACAACATAAAACATGACAGATTTAAATTCTATTATATAAAATTCTTGTGTCGCGTTGTTTGTTACCAAACTGCTCCGAAATTGCCGAACCGATTTGTATGAAATTTTGTGTGCACATCGAGTAGGTCTTAGAATCGGCCAACATCTATTTTTAATACCCCTAATATGATAATATTATAAGAGCGACCCACCACTAAATATATTTTTGACAATTTTTTTATTTTTATTTTATTATGATTGAATATTGAAAAATACATACAACTTCAAAATTGCGCCCGAAACCTATCTATAACTCAAAGAGTTTTTAATTACAGACTCACATTAGCAAGAAGATTTGTAGAATTCACATTTGGCATACTTACAAGTAAACGGAGAATTTTATATCGAGCTTTAGATGTAAAACTAACAACTTGTGACCAAATAATTAAAGCATGTTGCATTTTACATAATTACGTACGGAAACATGATGGAATTAAGTTTGAAGACAAACTGTATGGAACCAAGTTGCACAGTTTACGCCCTACTCCAGTGAGATCTAGAATATCCAACATTGAAAATAAACAACATTTTGCAGAATATTTTGATTCATTGAAGGGGTCAATTTCGTGACAGTATGATAAAATATAAATAATCATATACTTAACTGTAAGATTAGACCATAGGTGTGGGCTAATTAAAAAAGAACAAACCAGAAATAAAAAAATAAACTGTATCTACTCTATGGTTCTAGACAATGGCGGATCTGTTCTAAACGTGTTTTAAACGAAGAAATGAATGATGAAGATAATTTTTGACAATACAGAAGATATCTGAAGAAATACTGGTTTTATTCGACACCCGTTCCACATAAACTATACATAGACCAACAAGAAATACTTACCTACAGTAATTAATTTCAACTTGTAAACTTATTATAATAATAAACTATTTTGCTTTACTTGCCTTTTTGCTTTCTTTCACCAACACTATATTGTTCCCGAGTAAAATATATCTGTTGATATATTTCCTTCCACAATCTCGCTTTCAATATTCTGTCGAGGTACTTTGTGTCAAATTTTTCCCATAGAGCAGGTCTCTTGTGCATCAGTGTGATTAATTGCTCTATATCAATGTTGTCATCTTCTGGTAGCTCCTGCGCGCCTGCCGATCGGGCGGGAGATGAAACGCGCGACATCTTGTCAGCAGCGTTGTCAGTGCACGACTGACGAGCGAAACCCGCGAATTTTATTTCGCAGTGCGGCCATAGTCATACTACTTCATACTGCACAAAACATTCGTGCGGAAATAAATCCGCACCGCATCGCGTAAAATTTGCATCAAAACACAGATTTTTGGGGATTTTTTTCCGCGCGAATTTTATACCGCCAGTGCGGCTACTCCTATTGTATTTAATGTGTTACAGAATTGCGAAAAGAAAATCGCGCGGTGAATATTCGCTGTGCGGACGAGGCCTTATACGTCATCGTATCATATTAATTTTTAAGTGAAACTCTCAAGTTAATTTTATTCAAATAGTGATTTTTATTTATATTATTTTTATTTTATTTTAATAAATTTTTATTTCAAATTGATTTATTTATATGTTATAGGTACAGTCAACAATGCCAGCAAGATGCAAAAGATCCAATTTGAGTCGTCATACAATCAAATCTAGAGTCATGCAAGATAGAAAAGCACAAAGATCAGACGAACAAATCCAATAAAACAATGCAGATGTGTGCGTGAGCATGGTGCAGTTACGTGAATCACAATCGCAAGAGGCACAAGGTGAACGAAATGAACAAAGACGATTATAGTCAACACACGTAGATCAATTGACGAACAACGCCAAAAAGTACTTCAAGCAGATTCATTCCTTTGACTAGCATTCCAGTAGGAGCCTGATGTTGAATATTATGCTCATTCCAAAGTGGTCATTGGTACTTTGGACAAGAAATGCCCGCATTGCCATGCGCTTAAATTTAAATAAAAATGAGCCTGTCGGGATGTGTTGCTCATCAGTAAAAGTGCAACTAACGGAAATTGAAACACAACCTGAACCATTGCACGGCTTAGTCATCGGTACGTATCCAGATTCTAGCCTGTTCCTAAAGTCAATTCGCACATTCCAATCATGTTTCCAAATGATATAGTTCGTAGCAACAGAAATAGTTCAAAATATTGTTGCAAACGTTCAACAACTTAATTCCACGTTCAAAATCAAAGACCAAGTTTATCACAAGGTCATTGCTGCCACTGCCAAACGAATCTCATAACTTTTTTTACAAATTTACTTTATGGGTGGCGAGGACTCCGAACACGCACTTGCCAATCACGTGGATGCACATTGCGACTACAATAACCTCAATTCACATTTTGCCCGGCGCATCGTCGGCGAGCTGGATGCTTTGTTAAATGAGCACAATGAATTGTTGAAATTATTAAAATCCCACATGCCCAAGCTACAAAGTGACAATCACGCTATTGTCATCAATCCTGATAGAACACCAGCTGGAGAGCTTATACGTAGATTCAACACAACTGTTGTTGACTACGTTGCTGTAATCATGGTTGGCGACCGTACGGCTACGCGACATATTGTGATTCATATTGTGATGAAGAAATAATTATCTTTAGTTCATTGCTGATACCCACCGTTCATATGATGCTCTCCAATATCCGCTAATTTTCTAGAACGTACAAGACGAATATTGCATAAACATTCAACAACGAGATCCCATAATAGGTAATTCATTCAGTAAATTAAAACTATCAGTAATGCAGACATTGACATCGACAATCGTTGGGTATATTCACCTCTGCAGAGCAAAACATTCAGTGCTCATATAAATGTTGAGTTCTGCAGTTCGGTGAAGAGCATTAAATATATATGCAAGTATGTGAATAGAAGAAGTGATGTGACTGTATTAGGAATTGAAAATACTAATGTGAATGCTCCTCTCCTTTAAATAGAAATGATGATATAACGAATTATAAAATTGGCCGGTATATTAAGCTCCAATGAAGCTTTCTGGTGTATCCTCGGTTTCCCGATTCATGAACGGGATTCATCAGTTATCCATTTAGACGTGCATCTTGAAAATGGCCAGTGCGTAATTTACACGAACAAAACAGTGTTTGACCGTGCTAATTTACATCACATCACATCACAGAATTTTTTGAATTGTGTAATCGTGCGGATGCTTTTAGAGCCTTCGCACGAACACTACTCTATACAAAATTACCAAGCTATTTTACATGGACTCAATCGCAAAATGGGCACCCCGCAAGCAAGGCACACCATTTGATCCATGCCTCAGTTTATTCATAACAAAAAAAAATTGGATCCCGTATATATAGTCAATCCAAGGCAGACTGAGTGCTTTTATCTGCGACTGTTGTTGATTAATGCCACCGGACCATTGTCATTTCAAGATATACGTAAAGTAAATGGACAAGAGTATCCGAGTTATAAAGACGCATGCCTTGCACTACGCTTGCTGGAAGACGACAATCATTGGGGCAGTATGCTTGCTGAAGCAGCACTAAACTGACCTGTTCAACTACAGGCCTATCGCCATCACCTTCTTGTTCTCCAAAACAATGGAGTCCATTGTAAACTGCCAGCTCATGAGAGGTGTCTTGAGGATCACCAGCTGATTAGTGATCGCCAATACGGTTTTCGTCGTGGTCCATCAGCTGATGATCTACCTGACTCATAGATGGGTGGAGGCAGTTGAGTCCAAGGGAGAGGCATTGGCCGTTAGTTTGGACATTGCGAAGGCCTTAGATCGTACTACGTTAGATCGGGTTTGGCACAAAGCACTTCTTTCGAAGCTCCCTTTCTATGGGCTTCCCGAGAAATTGTGCAATTGGATCACCAGCTTTCTTGCAGATCGGAGCATCAAGGTTGTTATAGACGGTGCAAGCTCCGATTGCAAGCCTATAAATGCTGGCGTTCCACAAGGTTGCGTGCTATCACCAACGCTGTTTCTTCTGCATATTAATAATATAGTGCAAACCGGTAACATCCATTGCTACGCAGATGACAGCACTGGTGATGCTCTGTACACCAGACGTTAAAATATTTCTCGGGAAATTGTCGCCGAGTACCGGGACAAACTTGTGTCTGAAGTCGCGTTTTTGCTGAACAAAGTCTTGGATTAGGGGCGACTAAATCTAGTCAAGTTTAACCCTCAGAAGACACAAGTTTGCGCGTTAACTGCTAAAAAGAACCCTTTTGTCGTATCTCCTTAGTTTCAGGGCACTCCCCTTGTTGCCTCAGCCATTATCGGCCTATCGAGTGACGTGCAGTTTCGTGGTCTGGTGCTCAGCAAAGCCGGACAGTATTTCATGCCGGCACACCACCTGCAACTTTACAAGGCACAGGTTCAGCCGCACATGGAATACTATTCCCATCTCTTGGCTGGGGCTCCCCAGTGCCAGCTTCTTCCATTTGACCGCATCCAGTGCAGAGCGGCTCGAATTGTCAACGACCCAGTGCTTTCCGATCGGCTAGATTCACTGGCGCTGCGAAGAGATGTTGCAACACATTTTCTTTCGCAAGAAAATGCAAAGAGTTGCAATATAGTAGTTGTATACCACGGGAGTGCTGTAAAGAATAGTACGGATTAATCCCAGCCACCAAATTTCATGAATGCACTACGCGGCAAACGTCTCGATACCACCCACACCATCTGGATATTTAGTGGTCCACCACTGTACGTTTCAATAGAATTTTTCTTCCGCGTATAGTCTATCTGTGGAATAGTTTATCACTGGCGATTTTTCCGGACCGATACGACCTAGGGTCCTTCAAGAAAAGAGCTCACTCCTTTCTAGAGGGCCGACAACACACCTGCAATTTACCTGGTGTTGCGGTTGTTCATGGGCGGCGGTAGTCACTTAACATCAGGTGAACCGTATGCTCGTTTGCCCCTTCTTAGAAAAATTAACTGCACAGGAAAATAAATTCGTCTCCTTTTTTGCTATAGTATATACTGACTACATGTTTCCCGGCCCGAGCACAAATGTTGTGGGATAATCTCAAAAATTCAATGACTGTTGACATATTTTATCGACGTCGTACATGGTACAACGTTCTAACGATATCATTCAGTGACGCAATGTACAATGAAGCATCGATTTCTATCGAAGATCACTGCATTGTATTTGCAAATTTACCAATCAGTCATTTCGGTAAGAGTTCACCAAATCAAAGTGCAGCCAAGGGGTCAATAACTAGACAATCTCATGAAGAAGGAGAGACACTTTATGAGGAACTCTTTCTTTCAGGAGCAGCGCCAGAGATGTTTGCCCTGATTCAGCCTCGAAGGTTCGACAAGAAATGAGATTGAATTCATTATGACGACCAGACGGCAACTGTTCAGTGACATCTCAGTGATTGTGTGGGTGAAAACTTGTAGCGGTCACCGAATTGTAAGAGGGACAGTTAACCTAAATGTTAAGTAAAATAGGTCACGTCTAATGAAGTCACCGCTTTGTTCCCTTCGTGATCTAACCCAAAACCTTCACCTCAAATTACAAATTCGGCCTTCAGCGGTGCCAACTTGATTGTCGGTATATCGAAATGTTGAGATGTTTCTACAGTAGGGCTATGAGGGTTATCCGAGAACCATAATACAAAACCTATCCATTTGCAAAGACGTGTAAGAGAGGGTAAAGTTATATACCCAAAATTCTTCGCCACTGCATTGAAAAACATTTTTAATCCACTGGACTGGTTTTAACATCAATGGCGAGTACGATATTCATCTTTGGTTTGCTATGGATATAGTCCTTACGGGGGAATCGCTAGACGACCTCAGCATCATGCTCAATGACATGGACAAAACAAAGGTCATGTGTAACGTTCCGTGTCACACGGGTAGTTGTTATGATCACTACTCTAGAAGTGCTTTTCTTTCCGTGGGTTTCCAACTAGGTCATTTGAACTTGGACTGAGAGATTAATCGACGAATTCAACTCGACAGGACAGCGGTTGGGAGATTACGACACATCTCTTCATCAAATACACCTGAAAATTTGAAAACATGATTGTAAAACCAGTGTAAGTTGCCAGTGATGAGATATGCATCTGAGACGTGATCCTTCACGGCTGGCCAAAGAGAAAGCTCAAGTTTGCTCAGTGAGCATGCAGAGAGCTATGCTAGGAGTTTGTTGACTTTAAAATGAGGATATCCGGCGTAGTAACAGACTAAATCTTCATAGCCCAATGGGTTATTAAGCTGAAGTGGCAATGGCCCGGCAATATATTTAAAAAGAAGCGATAACCGATGGGGAAGCAAAGATCTCGAATAGCAGCCTTGTATCCATAGGCTAAGTGTAAATAGGTCTCCGTCTAGATGAAGTGAAGACCAGGTAAGAAATGCACGAAGTCGATGGTTGCAAGTGGCTGAGGACCGTGTTTTGTGGCATTTCTTGGCGGAGGTTTATGTACAACAATACACAGTGGACATGTGAAGGGCTGTAATAAATGTTAACAAAGCTGTTAAAAATGGTGAATCAAATATATATTGTAAAACTATTTTTAATTTTTTATTCTTAATTTATTTTCTTTGTTACTTACTCTTTTTATGTATCATTTTTGTATTATTCTCGAGTCTCTTATCGAATAGACAAGCATTTTTGTACTTAATTATGTTATTTATCATACCATAAAATGATGGAATTTTATAAAACCAATATTTTATTAATTACTTCCCAGATTATCGCAACTGCGAAATCTTTATAAGGGTCTTGTTATATTCATAAGTACGTTGCCACCAATTACAAAGTGTTCGATTGATCATCATTGTCATCCTGTTTCTCACACATTTTCTTAATGTATGGTTCAAAGGGACCTAATCCATCGACTTTCTAAAGGTTTTATCAGATCGACAAACTATCTAATTACCCCATCAGGTGACCCCATCAGCAACAAAAAACGATGTTGAGAATCTTTTTTCCTATCGGTTTTCAGTTCTACAAAATATAAGGCTTGGCCTACTGTTACTTCAGCTTACTGATCGCTGGGCTCTGTCAGTTACTTTTGTTACTCTCCAGTATTTTTTATACTATAAGGGTGAAAAACAAGCACATAATTCACGTGATGTTGTGAAACATAGACATCTACTTTTGTCCTCGATTAGGGATCAAAATGCAAATGCGTTACTACCCCTGAGGACTAAGAGGGAATGCCTCGTTTCCTATAAAAAGGGTCTCCGGTTCTCTACACTCATTATACAAAACACAGTTGCTTCTGATGAGCTGCTATTTTACGCTAGTATTCTGTGAGAGCGCGATCCTTCCCCTGTCGAGCCAACCCATTCGTGCTACAACTATAATATAGCTGCAGCATGGCTCTACCACGTATTTCCATAATTAATATCCAGATATATATTACTAAACAACGGTTCGCCTTAAGCATTGTGTGTGCAGTACTCAATATACTTAAAACTGTAAAATTGTTATAAAAAATAAAAATATAAATTTCTTTGCAACCTTCCGCTAAATAAATACAATGATGTGTCTTACCTGGATTGAAGAGCACCTCCCGCCCTCCCTCAATTGCATGCACTAACTCCGTCACCACTAGTCCCAGCACCACTACTCCCAACACCACTATTCCTTAGACTAAAGACTTAGCGGTCAGCCGCCGTAGAGTCTACATTACCTGAAGATGCCTCGTGTAGAGGCGAAACACGTGTCGTATTATCGTCGTTGGTGTGTCTTACCTGGAATAGTGGTGTTGGGAGTAGTGGTGCTGGGACTAGTGGTGACGGAGTTAGTGCATGCAATTGAGGGAGGGCGGGAGGTGCTCTTCAATCCAGGTAAGACACATCATTGTATTTATTTAGCGGAAGGTTGCAAAGAAATTTATATTTTTATTTTTTATTATAATGGATTTCTGCAAAGTAACGCCTGATTCTATCAATTATTGTAAAATTGTTGTTTTATTCATTTCACCAGAGTAAATGAGTTCTATTTCTCGCATTAGGTCGACTTTTTCATTCCATGAACTAAGCGTAATGCTATTTATTTTTTTCTAATTTAAAAAATTTATTATTTCAGATTAAAAATAAACTACGAGTATACAGCTCATACTAGAAGTTGCCCTGTTTTATAAATTTAAGTTTTAAGTGGGATAAAATAGAGTACCTGAGGGACCGATCTTAGCTCGGGATTACGGGGTAAAAATAAATATTTTCTCAGAAATAAACCGTGTCTTGGTAAATTTAAAATATCGTCCCCGTAGAGCGAAAAGTCATTAAGTCTAAAAATGGCTAAAATGACTTATCAATGTCACTAAAATCAACATTTTGTTCGCTAAGTATCTGTCTTACCGTCATTTTTGTAGCTGCCCACGCTTTTGTTTTACGAAATGTGAAAAGTAAGTAAGTCTACCCTTTGGATCTCAAAGCGTAATGGGAGAAATAACTAATTTAGTAAATTATTATACATTTACCGAAAATTTACATCACCCGAAATTAAAACGACTTAATTACTTTTTTTCTTGTATTATCAATTCATACATAAGATTTTAGATAGTCTAAAAGTCACTAAAATTATTTAGTAAGTTTTCAAAGTCAGTAGTTTGCTAAAACACACAAAAGCGATAATTAACTAACTCGACTTAGTGACTATTCACTCTTTTTTTTAAATGATTTGTACAATACTACAAAAGCGAAAAATCATCAAGCGTTATAATGTTTTATTTTACTTTAAAAATGGAACATAAGATCTATTGCGAATAATAATTAAAGTCTTTTAATTATTATTTATACAACTTCGACGTAAATTGTTACAATTAAGGTACATTTCGCCCACGAGTTAGTGAGTTTGTCGCGGCTACAGAACGAGCGCGGCGTGTGGCGATTCATTCGCGAAATCGAAGTCGACTGCCATAAGTATACACGTTTTTCGTTGTTGTTAAAATAACGTAAACAACTGCTAAATAATGCTAAGTTTATTATTGATTTATTGAATCAAAATGAAAAAACTTTTTTAAGAGGTAAGTGTGTTCAGTATATTTTTATTTAGTTTATAAGTATCTTTTAGATGTGTATCGTATTTTAAAAGTGTTTCACTTTTATTAATGTACGTTATTTACATACATAAATATTATAATAATGTTATTTTATAGGAATCTGCTGTCCCTATAAATTTCGTGAAGTGATGACTTTGATGAAAGTAATTATTACGATACGTATTATTTGGGTGTTGCTTACCTATTTATTTGACTCTTGGATTACTTGCCTTGTTGTGTAGTTTTTCTTCATGCTTGAGTTAAAAGAAATGAGTACACTCAAGTAGCTTCAGAAATTATTAATTAATTATTATTTTCTCGTACCCCTTAATAGAGGTGCTAGGTTATGTCACTAGGTGTACCTATTGTATTTATAAGGATGCTTTCTGGCATTTGTTTGTTTAGTCTAACATGTGGACATTATTTTATTATTTTTGTAGTATCATTATTTATCATACCTAACGTTCTCCTAATTGTTTATTTCAGGAATCTAAGCTGCTCGACCAGAGGAAATTTGATCTGTTCCAAAACAATAATCTATATGAATCTGCTCCACCATCTGCGTCAATAGTAAGTCCAAAAAGAGATCTACCAAGTATCAATCCACCATACTCCGCTCCTTTGTTGGCTGAAACCTACCATGATATTGTTTCCGTTGAGAATTTGATCAGAGAAGAAAATGTATCATGTAAAACACACCAAAACTACACCGAAATTAGAAAGTCTCTTGAAAGTCCACATTCAGAAATAAGCGGTATCGAAGAATTGAGTTCTTCTCCTGTTCGAGTGTTTTCTGATTCGAGCGTTTCATGGTTTCCAGATAGTGAAGAGGATAGATGTTTCAAAAAGAAAAGACGAGTGTATGTTGCCAAATCTTCCCGTGAGAGCGATAGTGAAGAAAGTACATTTATTGCGTCGCGCTCGAAGACAGCAGATAGTCGGGGGCTTTTTAATGAATGTTTTCAGGATATAAACATTAACAATGACTTTCAATCAAGAAATAAACAATATGCCGTGCCTCAACAATCTACTTTACCATCTTCCAACTCTGATTCATCTGGTAATGTCACTGTAGACAATCAAGAATGAACTAAACAGCCAGTTCCAATCGTTACTTCAAACAATAATATTGAACCTACACGTTGGAAAAAAGCGATCCTAGCAAGTGGAAAAAAAAACATAGCTAAATCTAATAAACAAAAAGGTTTGCCTTATTTGGGTAAAAAGGGCTATCTCATGCCTGCAAAGAAACCTAAGCCCGTAAAGTGCTACGTAAAATGCCGGTATCAGTGCCAAAATCATTTTTCTGAGGATGAAAGACGAAAAAATGTGTGAAGCCTACTGTAAAATTACAAATTTTCATGCACAAAAACAATTTTTACTTCAAAAAGTGGTGGCCTAGCCTATAAAAACAATGAACGTTGATATCCCTGCTAAAAAAAAACCGGACTGCTACCTATTCTTATTATTTTAATAAAAATGATAATAAAATACGAGTCTGCAAAGATTTTTTTCTAAAAACTCTAAGCATTTCAAATGGACCGGTAAATGAAGCATTGAAATATAGAGATGAGTTGGGTAACTATACAGGGAAGGATGGGCGTGGTTCTCGAGTCCCAGTAAACAAAACCAGCTTAGAGTCTGAACAGAAGATCATTGACCACATAAACTCTTTTCCCCGGCTCAAATCTCACTACTGCAGGAAGAAAAGTAAGCGACAGTACCTGGAGAGCAAACTGACAATCGCTAAAATGTACGAATTGTATAAAGAGTAACTAACAACATTAAATGAAGAACCATGTTGTTTTTACGTCTATAAAACAATATTTGGGTCTAAATTCAATTTGTCATTTTTTACTCTAAAAAAAGACTTATACATAACATGCACTCGTTATGATAGTGCCGGACGTCCAGAACATTTGAAGGAGGAATATGATTCACATATTGCAAGAAAAATTAAGCACAGCAAGCGAAAGAATCGGACAAACAGCGGTCTATTATTGATGACAATTACCTAGTTGTAACGGCAGATATGCAGTCTACTTTGCATATACCAGTCAGTGGTGTTGGTATTTCATATTACACCAGAAAATTAAATGTACAGAATTATACAATTCACACGTCTAAACCACCTCATGAAGCATTTTGTATAACTTGGAATGAGATTAATGGTAAAAGGGGTAGTGTGGAAATTGCCAGTATAATTAACTGGTGGATTAGTCAGATACCAACCAATATTAAAGAAATTACCATGTATAGCGACACGTGCGCTGGGTAAAATAGAAACCAATTTATCACGGCATTTTTGGTTCATTTGATTCAAAGGATGGATGGGCAGCTGGAAGTTATTGAGCAAAAATATTTAGAGAGTGGTCACTCATATGGAAGTGGACTCCATGCATAGTGCGGTAGAAAGACAGCAAAGACATACGCCTGTTTATTCCATGATTGACTGGAAGTTGATCATGGAACGTGCTCGCTCTAAAAGAAACAGGGATTCAGCACCACTTTATACAGTTAAAGAATTAAAATACACGGAAATGGTTGATGTAAGAGCTCTTAATGAAAAATAGCAAAAAATACAAGCAGAGATAAAGCAGTCAATAAAATTACATGGCTAAAAATTAAGTGTCTTCGTTTCGAGAGAAAATGCCCGGGTCTTATTAAGTTTAGATATCAAAATGATGGTCCCTACCTATTTTTAGAATGTCCGACAAAATCTACATTTATTACTAGAAAGAGGAGGAAACTAGAAGAACAAACGGAGGGACAAGGGACAGAAAAACTGATGCAAGTATAAATTGCCACCAGCTTACTCCTCGCCGCTGCCTATTTCAGAGGCAAAAAAGAAAGACCTCAATAATTTATGTGCAGAGGGGATAATCCCACAAGAGCTCCACTTGTGGTATCAGTCTTTACCAACAAGTAAAGACGTAGTAGACAGAATTTTGGAGCCAGACGTCACTGAGGAGGGAGAAGAAGAAGTAGTCGACTGAAATCTATTTTTTAATAACTATGTTCTACTAGTTCAATCACTTTTCAGTTTGTGTGCATGAGGTTGTTGCACTTTTTGTTTTTATTTAACACTAATAGTATTTTGTTGATTTCGGCTGATATTTTAGAATAATTGCTTCAATAAATCTTGATTGAATTTATTACAATAGTTTCATTACTTAATCATGTTATATTTAAGACAAAACTTAACATACAAGCTTCGAATATTCAGTTAAGTAGTATTTACAATACATATTTTGTACACCTAATAGTAGGTTCGACTTTACGTAAGTCTAGTTAATTATCTTCAAAATAATTTAGAACTGAGAGACAAGTCACTAAATGCGTTCGAAAATTAACTAATTCGCAACTAAATCATAGCTTTGATAGAAAACAATTAATTAGTTAAATGTTTTTAGCTTTTCTTAATTATTAGAGATTTTTCACGTGTTTTATCTCTTATAGTATATTATTTATTTTATTTTCTTCAAATTAAAGCTAAAAACGTAAAGATATGTAAAGGCAAGCCAATGTTATAACGATTTTTATTTTCAAAAACTTTAACTCTCATTATCTCGAAACACGATTTTTCGACTTAATGACTTTTCGCTCTACGGGGACGATATAATCTAACTACGACATTTCATCCAAATCGACAACACCCTTTCCGAGAAACTTATTATATATTATCGGTCTGTCTATATTTTTATAGTTATCTAACGTCTCCATATAGTACTATTATGAAACTGTAAAACGACGATTTCTGTACATTGAATATTTTTTGATATGTGAATTGGAGTATGTACATTATGTTACGCCGAAACAATTTTTTGGAAGCGTGGTCTCTCTGTATGTACACGCATCACGCACAAACCTGTAAACGAATTTGGATGAAATTTTCAACAGTGTTACGTAAGAACTAAGTAGTTAAGTAGTCATTAATTTATATTATTATTTGCTAAGAAAATTCTTAACATTAGACACAATCCTTACTTTACCAATAGCGTTCTTGAAAATTCGATTTAATGGACATATTTAAATCGAATAGAGTAGAATTTAACTACCCATGGATATAGTTTTGCCATTTACCGACAGATGTCACTATTCACTATATATCTCATACCATACCATCCACTTTTTAGTATAAAAGATGTTCCGATTGACTGACTTATTTATCAACGAACAATCCAAACCGCTCGAAATAGAAATCTGAAATTTGGACACTAGATCTACTTTATGACGCTATGATCCACTAAGAAAGGATTAAGGAAAATTCGAACCTTAAGAGGATGAAGTAGTGTGTTACAGTTTGCATGTATGTTTTTATTTTGCGGGGTGGTTGACAGTGACTTCAGAGGATGTTCAATTTTGTGTAGAGAAAAAAAATGCTATAAAAACATCAGGCAATTTTTTTTCGTATTTTTAAAAAGCAGCCGCAAGCTTGCGTGACGTCCGAATCGTCAGTTTTGATTGTAAGCATCTTTCAGGTTCGCTTGACATACCCTCGAAGTATCTGACGCGTTCAAATTTTTTTCCATTTTTACCCCCACGGCCACCCCCGCCCTGCAAACTCGCAGATTAACATATCTCCGTTATTAGAGAGACGTGGGGCATATACACAATCAATATCTGACGCACTCAAATATATCAATTACCCACACTATTTATTTAAACATTGTTGATAACTTGTAGGCGCTCCTCCCACCGGTGCAAGGGTATACATAATATAACTTTTGTTTTTTCTGTCGTCTAATCTTTAAAATTCAATAGGTCTCCACGACGCTCAATTATATCTTTGTTTAGCATCGTGGGCTACCCTACTACGTATGTTGCGTCAATAGAAAAGGACTTAGTATAGAAGAAATTATATTTATAGGATCGAATTTTTAAAATAAGGTTTTTATCAGAGCGAAAAGAGCGACATTGGGTGTCAACAAGAACTCCAAACCCTCTTTAAGTTAAGCAGGAGAAGTGGGTTTGAGTAGAACACAATATAAAAGAGAAAGAATGGGTCACACCAACATGTGAATAATTTTACAATAAAACCTATCACTATCTATCACCTATCACTATTGTTGTTTCATAAACCAAGCTATGTTTATGAAAATAAAAATAGTTTTTGTTTCATCTAAATTGGTGCAGTCATACGAAAGTTATAACTTATAACATTTTGAAGTTTCGCTAATTTTTTAATTTTCTGCCCGCTCGTTCACTGTAACGTGACGTCACAATCCGACAGCACGAGCCTCAAGCGCGCATTAAGTGTACTAACTACTAACCGCTCGCTCGGAAGTATACCTATGGTCATTTACCTACATATTATAAGCAAACGTATTGAAAATTTAGCTTTTGTATGATTATATTTGTATTTGTATGTACAGTCACGGCGTGTAGTGCTATAAAAAATGGAAGCGGGCTTTAAAAAAACACAGTCAGATAATCTGCCAAAAGTGGATATTTTTATGATTGCGCAGTATTTTTCTGAAAATAACGATTTTTTATCATTTGAAATGCGTGGAATAAAGCTTCAAAGATAAGTTACTAATAAAAGATTACGAAAAGTATACAGCTTTACCATTGATTAGTAGGTTTACGCAGTAATACACAGGTGAGTATTAATTGACCGAACCACAAAGTTGCACACGATTTACAACGACAGAACATAAAAACTTACTTAAACTTACTAATGCAATGAACATTAATCAATTCGTACTATTATTTAGTAACTTTTTTACATGGGGAAATGCCTACACTTACCCGCTTTGCGGGGGCAAGGACGGGTTATTTCGGACTCGCACCGACTAAAATCACATGGTGTTTCACCTTCGTCGCATATATGCAGAACCACGGGAACGCTTTCGAACACATCCGCGGCCTCACCAACGCTGGTCGCCCCATGGCGGCCCCTCCTCGTGAGAGGACTATTCCTCCCCATCTCTTTTTTTCTGGTAAGGTGCTCCAGAACATATGGCGCACCCTCCTCCGCGATTTCCATCTTCACATGCGGTACAGACGCTCCCGTGTCCGATGCAGGGCGGCCATGGGGCCAGGAAAAACGAGAACTCAGAAGCACTAGCCATCCTGACCTCAGCGGC